CATTTTTATATTTATATAACATTTATTTCTACTCATTTCAACAACCATTAATTTAAGAGGAAATTAATTTTACAATTATATTATTGTGAAACAATGATGTATTTTATATAATAAGTTATTTGAAATTTTATTTCCATTTATTTCTTTTAGCAAATAAACTTTGTGCTATTTATTAATATGTCAAATTTATTAAACAAAATATGAATTTTTTAAAATATCTGATACAACAAAGTAATATTTAACTGCATTAAATTCATACTTTATCAACTTACTCTTACATGTACGCATCAAGATAAGAGTAATGCCACAATTTTACTTTTAATTGTTCATGTTTGTCAGTGTGTGAATTTCTTTAGCAATCCGTACTGATCCTAGATTGTAATTAGAATATCTACAATGATAACGATTTATCTATTTAAGATCGCAGAATTTCACGACGGAAAAGATGACAGGATTTATCTTTCGCGTTTAAACGTTACAACAACATTCGTTTGCGAAATGAGTGATAAATGAGATGTACTAGGAAAAAAGTAAGAATTGACGAAAGAAACTATTAAAAATTAGACATATAGGACCTTGTAACTACGAAGCAAGTGGAAGTACCACCCGGTACGGAAAAATGGCTGACTGCGAGAAGGAGGAGGCTCACAATCTCGTAAGCTATTTGCCTTTGCCTACCGTTTATCTAATCACTTAAGCGACCTCGTTGTCTCGCGGTTCGCGATGATAGTGTACCTTATCTATCGTCGAACTAATCAACTTACCTTCGCTGTTCTTGTTGAAACAAGTTCTTTGTGGTTATGTTTTCTTCAATAGATTATTTTGTTGTTACGTTAGTTTCTAATTTACGTGCACAAATGTACAATTTGGTACTTTTATTTTAAAGATTTGTAAACGATATACATAAGTTAGAAATAATGTTTATTCCTTAATGAAACGATTAACTTAATTATTTCAAAAGATTTACTTGACACAAGTATACTGAGTGGTGAATATAGGATACGAATTGATATATAAGAATATTTATTTGTCACTTGCAAATGAATACAATGCGTTAAAAATTTAAATCAATAATAATTACAAAATATCGGAACTTATAAGAGAAAGTATCAATTTGTTGAAAAAGATATATTAAGCAGATATTTATGAGCATTTATTGAAATAAACGTTATATGTAAACTCTAAATTTAAGATAATGCATTAATAATTGTTTCTATTTTAATCATTATCAACATCAATAGAATAATTATCATTCGTTAATTGCACTTGTTAAAATAAACAAATTAAACATTTTTTATATAAAAGTGTTATTTGTGTTCATCTTAAATGTTTTTCAAAATCAACATCAGTGTTTATTGAATTAATGTTGAAGTAGCAATAA